AGAAGAAGAAGAAGAAGAAGAAGAAGAAGAAGAAGAAGAAGAAGAAGAAGAAGAAGAAGAAGAAGAAGAGGCTTCACAGGCCAAGCCGCATTGCAATGGCAGCAGTCTTCCAAGATTTGAGGGGCTGCCCCAAAGAAGAGTGGGAGGTCGACCCAATTTCCAAAGCCCCGGAAGGCAAGACAGGAAGCAACGGATGGAAAACAATCAACGGACGGAGGTTTTTAAGAAGAGACTGGACAACCATTTCTCTGGGACGGTATAGGGCCATCTACACGGACTGGGGGGGTGGTGGACTGGAAGACCTTCGAGGTCCCTTCCCCCCCTAGGAGTTTATGATTCTGAGATTGCTAGATCGATGAGGAGGAGTGGAGAGGGCAGGGGTAGAGGATGATGAAGATGGAGGCAGGGAGGGAAGGATGCAACAGCTGGCCTCCAACAGTTGTGGGTGCTTCAATGCTGGAGGTTTTCAAGGAGAGATTGGGCAACCTTTTGTCTGGAATGGTATGGGGTATAGGGTGGAGGGTTGGGCTAGAAGACCTCCAAGGGCCCTTCCCACTCTGTTATCCTGACCTATTCAGCACCCCTCCCCCTTTCCATCAGCAGGCCAGCAGCCTCCACATTTTTTTTAATGTTTTTCTCTCACATTCCTTCACCTCCCATCCCTGCAATTCAGTTATGTCCTCTGGGTGCAATACGGCATGTCCCCGGAGAGGTTTTAAAACTAAACACACTCCCTACCGCCGTGTCAATATTTCCCCTCACAACACAGAACGGTGGTTTTGCTTTGCAAACAAGCTGCCCGAAGGAGGGAAAGCATCAGCAAGGCCGTGAGGGTGTGAAAAAATAGCTGCCAGAAATTAGCCCTGGGAGCCGACAGAAAGCAGAAAGGGAGGCAAGGACGGCGGCATGAGAACACCAGCAAAAAGAATTTAATCTGCTTAAATCGGTGTTGGTTCCGCCTCGGGAGCTTTCGGATGGGTGGACTTCAAGTCCCAGAATCCCCCAGCCAGCATGGCGACCTTAAGAGGGGTGGACTTCAACTCCCAGAATCCCCCAGCTGGGAGTTGAAGTGCACACATGTTAAGGTCGCCATGGTGGCTGGGGGATTCTGGGACTTGAAGTCCACCCATCTGAAAACTCCCAAGAAAAAAACCAGCAGCTAAACCTCCCAGGAGGCCCCACTCCAATCCGGTCTCCACCAGGCGCAAACACACCTCCTCCCAAACTTTCCCTTAAAGCCCCCCCCCCCCAGGGCAGGTTGCCTTCCCTTCTCCTTGCGCAGGGGGAGAAAGCCTCACCTGTCGCTGAAGACCACGCCCTCGGCTTCGGGTGGGGCGATGGAGAGCTGGAAGGGGGTATTGAAATAGTGTTGCTGCTCATCGGAGCGGTGCACCACGCGGCCCCCCCGGACCACCAGGAAGCCGGAATCGCCCAGGTTGGCGGTGTGCAGGCGACGGGTGCTGCGATCCAGGACGACGATGCAGGCCGTGCTGCTCCCTGGGGAGGAGGTTCAAAAGAGTCACCTGGTGGGAAACGCCAGCTTGGCTGCTGGCACAGGCGGCCCTTGGCTCACAGCCACTCGTCTTGAGGTTACGACGGCACCGAAAAACGCGGCTTAGGGCCACTTTTCACTCTTAACCTGACCACTGCAGCACCCCTGTGGTCGAAATTCAGATTCTTGGCCAGTGACTTGTATGTATGACTGTCACAGTGTTTCCCAGGAGTCACGTGAGGGACTGGGCCCCCAAAGCGACAGGATTTGGACGGACCCGAGGCGGCCATTCCCCGGGGCGAAGGCTGCCGGTGAGAGGTGTCACGGCAAGGGCAATGCCTCCTCCAGGGATCAGCAGAGGACACTTAAAAATAAACCCCGTTAAGAGGGAGCTGCCTTGGCAGAGGAGCCCGGGATCAGGTGAGGGGCAGCAAGCGGAGCGGAGCCGTCACTGGGCGAAAGGTCATCCCGTATTCCCTCGGCCAGGCTGGGTTCGAGATAACATGGAGATGCACAAGGACACCCCCCCCACACACACACACACACCCTGGTTCGTAACACCCGGGCAAATGAAAGATGCAAACTCTCGGATTCCCTTCATTAGCTGCAGCTGGGAATACAGTGTATAAAAGAGGAAGTTGGGCACAGCAAGTTGTTGGGGAGCAAATGTGAATTTATCTGGTATCACTGTGGCTTATCTGTGTTTCTGGCAAGTCTTCCCAACTGGGTGAGTTTTGAAGGGCTTTCAATCTGAAATCCCTTCCCCCGCCCTGTCAAGTTAATTACTGCAGTTTGGTTTGTTTGGATGTTTAGTTACCGTTTGTGTGTACCTTGTTTTTGGACTGAATTTTCTACAGCCCAAGGCTGTTCCTGGGAGAGTTTTTCTCCTCCAGCCTGAAGGTAATCAGGACATTGGGGGCAAAGTTGGAGATGATAAAGGGGACTCCTGCTGATTATCTGTGTTGCCTTTGTGCCACACCCTGAGTCATCACAACCGACATCAACGTGGGAGGAAGCTGGAAGGGAGGGCCGTGGGGGGAGGGGCTCTTCTTACCGAGCAGGGGCGCCTTATGCTGCAACAGCTCACAGTAGCTTGCCGTGAGGATCCCCACCGGGTGGCTGGGCACAAACCGTCCTTCCTTGACCAAACGTTCACAAGTGCGCATCAGAGTCCCTGAGAACTGAGACGGGTCGACCCCGTAGTCTCGCCAGCCTCCGACACCGTCTGCCACGCCTTCGGGAGTGAGAGAGAGAAAAGTCAGTCCTTTTCGCTGGTTTATTCTTGCTCTATCGGCATTTGTCATTTAAACTAGATTTGTACATCACTGTGTCAGGATTCCGGCAATCGCTCTAATTAAATGATTCTCGAGCCAAACTTCAAAAAACCTCGAAGGATTCATTAGAGGCGACATGCTGGCCCTGCCCTGTATGAAGCCAACTCTGGCCTATGGTCATTTACAATCCCGTGACCCTGTTTCCCCCCTACCCCCTGGGTGTGTCATAAATCAGATTCTCCCATTGAGCACCGTCCCAGGCTGTGCGTCATCATTCACATTCTCCAATTAAATATATTTGCAGGCAAAAGCTCTGGTAGTTTAGTTACAATCTTTTAAAGAGAAGAGTCGGAATGTACTTTCGCTTTCAAACTGCTGCCCTGCTCTTCCAGATTTCCTTCCTCCCCCCTTTTTATGGCAACTACTAAAACAGGCATTGGAATGTTTTATGAGTTGACACACCAATTGCATGGACTAGAAGACCTCCCAGGTCCCTTCCAGCCTTATGATTCTATAAATGCAACAGTGTTTCTCAACCACACGACTTTTTAAGATGGCTGGACTTCAACTCCCAGAATCCCCCAGCGAACACTGCAATAGAGCATCAGTTTTTTTTTTTCATTGCAAAAGCCCAAAGGAGGAACTGATGCAGTGATGTAAGGATTGCAGAAGTGGAAAAAAGTAGACAGCTGCAGCTCTCAACAGGACCAAGGACAGCCCCCCCCCCCCCAAACTCCTTTTCTACAAAGTCGCCCTCCTTTCTACGTAGCCACACGTTTACAAAAGGCAGAATAAAGGGGGACAGACGGGACACATTTGCAGGAATAAACTTTGCGTGGCACCAAACACCCTTGCGGCACCAAACCGACCATAAGGAAAAAGCAGCAGCAGCAGAATCAGAAACCACCACCAGGCAGAGAAGGGGAGGTGGAATGCAGCCTTTTTGGGGGGGGAAAGCCAGCTGACTTGACTTCAACACGGGACGAAAAATCTAATCTTTTAACCACAGTTATGAAGATCATCACACAGCATCGCTCAGGATGCTGCATGAGTCACTAATCAGGAAATCTGCTTAGGGCACTTCTCTTCTGGAACAAAAAGCCACTCATCTCTGGCCAAAAAAGAACTGATTTATTACATAAAATGAAGGCTGGTAATCTGCAAACTGCCCTTTAATTTATGTCCCCGGATGGAACGGCAATTCAAGCTGACAGTGGCCTGACCCCGGAAGATGCGCCAACGTGTTGCAGGAGGCCATCAGCCAATCAAATTGGGCCCCCAAATAGTGGCAGGTGTGGCTGTCAAGTTTGGTTTCTTTTCTAGTATTTTCTTTCTAGTATTCCCATCAGCACAGCAACAAAGGGCTCCCTTCTCTACACCAGACGGAATAAAACAGAATTGCAATGCCTGTCTGCCTTCTCTCATCCCCTTCCTTCCTCTCATCCCTCCTTCCTTCCTTCCCTTCCTCCTCTCATCTCCTTCCTTCTCATCTTTCCTTCCTCCTCTCATCCCTCCTTCCTCCCCTTCCTCATCCCTTTCTTCCTCCTCCTCCCTTCCCTTCCTCCTCTCATCTCCTTCCTTCCTTCCCTTCCTTCTCTCTTCTTTCCTTCCTTCATCTCATCTCTCCTTCCTTCCTTTCCTTCCTCCTCTCATCTCCTTCCTTCCTTCTCTCATCTTTCTTTCTTTCCTTCCTTCCTTCCATACATATCTGCTGAACTTGGAACTCAAGAGCCCAGCTGACTCTCCAAATGACGACCCAGTGAGAGTATCTCTGCCCTGCCTCTTGGCTGACCCGAAGCCTCTCGGGGTTCTGGATGCACACATAAAACAGAGCGGGGAGGGGCCGGTTCCCCCAGACAAGAGCGGGGAGGGTTTTTGCTGCCTGCCTTCGGTCCGTTTCCATGTTTTTGCAATTTGCGGAGGAGGCGGCCGTCGTGGTCCACGGAGTTACCGCCTGTGACACGTTCTGTGCGTGGATTATGACGACGTGGCCAGCGGCAGAGGAGGGGAGGAGCGCCGAGCGACCCAAGGCCAAGAGGGAGGCAGGTGTTGGGGAATCGGCAGAAAGCTCCCAGCACCCCCAGACTGGTTTGAGGGTTTTGATTTCCCATTTGCCAAAAGCCGCTGGCGACCCAACCTTTCCACGAAACGCTGCCGCGATGCCTAGAAATGTCAAAGGGTTTTTCAGATCCACTCCTCCCTCTTTTCGGCATCAGCCGACACCTCCGCAAAAGCAAGCAGCTGCGATTTCTCAAGGATAAGGGAAGATTGGCGGCCGAGCACAACGAATGCCAAGGTCAAACCGGGAGGGAAACTGACAGCGACGGGGGCAAAGTTCAGAGGCCTTCCTGGGTGATTTTGCCTTCCAGCCTACAGGAATAATCCCTTCGTGTGTCTGTCGCCCAGCTGTCCTTCAAACGAGACTTCCTGGTTTGCAAAGTCAATTGCATCACGACGCTTCTTTCTCCCCCCCCCCTTTCTTTCTTTCTTTCATTAAGCAAGGTCGCTCTGATGAAACTGGCAATGAAATGGTGGGGAAAGAGGGGGGGGGGAGGAGAGGGGGGAGAGAAAGGGAGGGGGAAGGAGAGGGAGAGAGAGGGGAAGGGGAGCAGGAGGGAGGGAAGAGAGAAGGAGGGGAGAGAGGGAGAAAGAGAGAGGGGGAAGGAGAGGGAGAGAGGGAGCGGAAAGAGAAGGAGAGAGAGAGGGGGAGAGGGAGGGGGAGAGGGTAAAGAGAGGGAGATAGAGGGAGGGGCGGAGAGGGGGAAGGCGGAGAGGGAGAAAGAGAGAGGGGTGAAGGGAAGGGGGGAGAGATGAGAGAGAGAGGGAGGGGAGAGAGAGCACAATTTCGGGCCGAGGCAGAATGATGGGATGGGCACATCCTTCCGCCAGTCAGGAGGGCTGAGGAAACCAAGGCTGCCCGGGGAGAGGCGCCGCCTTGAAGGTGTGCTAAGAGACAATGACGCTCTGGACTTCTGAACAGGTGTGCGCCGAGGGAGGCTGTCCTGGCCACTGTTTTGGTCCCACTGGCAAAGTCACCTTCGGGTGTCTCTTATCGGAGGTGGGCGCTCCCAGATCCCAAAGCCAGATTGATTTCAGCTTCTAAGTGGCTGACGTGGGAGCAGGAATAATTCAAAGGCAAACACACACACACACACACACACACAGCCTCTTAACACCCTGCAGCCACCCCCCTCTCTACGCTTAAATTTTGTCTACCTGGAGAGGGGCTTGAGAAGGCAAGGTCTCCTTAGATGGGGAAACTCCCATTCCCAGAATTCCCCAGCCAGCCACGCTAGGGTATGTTTGTGTTATGCTGGCTGGGGAATTCTGGGAATGGGAGTCCATCCATGTTAAAAGGTGCCAACGTTGATAAATCCTGCTTTAGATGAACCCAGGGCATCTCCCTCACTGAAGGAAATGTCCCTCAATTAAATATCTCTGATTATTTAACACGAGAGACGCCTCTTGGGCAATGCTTACAACTTCCTCCTCTGTTCTCAGAAACCAGGCACTTCCTCCATCTTTTCAAAAACGTGTTGTCTTTCCAGGTGGGTCCACCTGATTAAGGTTACTAACTGGCCTGGCATGTAGCTCTCTTTTTTAAAAAACAGATCTTCTTCTAGAATTTAAACTCAGCAGAGAGAGAACCAGGAAGAGAACCAGGCAGATCTGGTCCACGCTTGTCATCGTAACTCCACTCTAACTTTACTCTAAATTCTCTCCCCAATGGAAGGCTCACCTTGCAGAATTTTAAAAAATGTGTTCCCGGTGATGACAGGAGTGAGTTTTTTTTTTTTAAAAAAATGATCAGGTCATAAGGGTGAATAAGCATTTTTCCCTCTCACCCAGAAAACGGATCACTTTTGACAATCAAAAGCTGAGAAATGCGATTCCAAAAGCCACATACCTGCAAATACGGGTGAAGGTATTAGGCATGCAAAGGTGTGCTGGGTTTCATCTGCAAAGCTTTTAATTATCTGGCAACCGATAATACGGTATACTATCACCTCCTCCAGGTACAACCTTCCTGCCCAATTCACCTGTCTTAAGTTGGGGTGTCGAGAGTCTTCCCCCCATTTATGATATGTGGGGAGGGGGGTTCTTTTGGCCTTTCCACCTATCTCCCTCCCTGGAGTAACTTCTCCCTCAAAACGGAGGTGGATCACCTCTGGTGGCCTCCAGGACGGAGGTTTCCCTACCTAGGACTGTTGCTGGATTACAGAGCTGGGAGGTGGGCAGATGTTTTTATATATCGCTGGTTTCGCATGGGAGGTTGTAAACCGAAGGGACAGCAATAAATGCCGCACATAAACCACAGGGCATAAGACCCAGGTTTCCCCGGGGTCCCTGGATGACGCTTGCCTTACTACATGGGATGACTTAACCTGCCAGGCCATTACAGATGCTTCTATGTTGTAGGCGAGGCCTGAAACGCAAAAAAAAGATCCTGACGGCCTATCTAAAGCCAGCCTGCCACTCCTTCCCAAAATCCTGGAGGAGAATTTTAGGACTTTGTGCCCGGAGGACCTGGGCACTTGGCAAGTCAAAAGGTTTGGGCCTTGGTGGGGAAGACGTCCCCGGTTCACAGTTCAGTCTCATGGGCAGAGCAAACTCCTTGACCGGTGGTTGTTTTTTTTTTTTTTTTTTTTTTAGGATTACCCCGATTACACAACTGGCAAAAGTTGTTTGTGATTTTTTTTGGTTATTTTTTATTTTTTAACTGCCGGTCAAACCAGGTCATGGCTTGGTATCCCATACAGGTCTCCCCCCCCCCCCACCCCCGCCAAAGAAATTGCTCCTCCGACTTTTCCACACCCTTCCCCAGCAAACAGAGGTTTTCCAAGCAGAATGCCAAGAAATCTTTGCTTCACTCCCACCACCGAAGGGAGAGAAAGAGGAGAGAGAAACTCTGGGCCTAGGTGGAAAAAAAAGAAACAGGCCTTTTAATAAGGCCTGGTTTGGGGCGTGTGTGTTTTTTTCTTCCCCCTTTTCCTTTTTGGCTAAAGAGACTCCAAAAGGATCAAAAGATGCCAAAATAAGCCATGTGTCATCCGTTGCATCTGAGAAGCATCAATTAAAGGCATCTCAAATAGGGAATCTCGGAGCTGCGGATGGCAAGGAGGGAAGGGAAGAGGTCAAGCGAGGACACTGGGAAAAGCAGAAGGCGGGGAGGGGGAAAGGAGGCCATGAGGTACCCCCTCCGCACACACACACACACAAACCCCCATTAAAAAACGCAGCAGAGAGACCTAACCGAGAAGTGAGAGCAGCAACCGGAATCCTCCTTACTGTATCTGGGCTGGAACCAAGAAATTGCCACCTTTTATTCCAACCCACCCAGTTCCATCTGCAGCACCCCCTGGCTGAAAGGGAGATCAGTTGGGGAGGGGGAGGGAGAGGGGAGGGTCCCCAGGTACCAACATCACACCAGTCACCCACCTCTATGCCCCTGTGGATTGTAGAGGCCGGCTGGGCTGGACGCAGCCTTGGCTAAAAAGCAGGCATGAAACACACATTCACACCAACCAAAAACCCCACCACCAAGTGGCTAGAAGGCGCCCCCAAAGCATTAAACCCATCTGCAGGTGTTCCTCGAACTTACAACAGCCTGTTTAGTGACCAAAGTTACAACGGCACTGAAAAAAAGTGACTTGTGGCCGTTGTTCACACTTACAACCACAGGTCGAGGGATGCCCTGCATTTCTTCGGCTGCAAGATCCCCTCCCCTCCCCAAAGAGCCTGCCCGGCCAAGAGCGTGGTGGAACTCCCTCTCCGCGCGGTGCAGTTAGCATCCTCAGGCCCTGCAGCGCCATTAATTAGGGGAGGTGGGCTGCAGAGAAGGCGCCCCGGAGGGCCCCTCCAACGCAGTGCAGAGCCAGGATGAATCATGCCCGAGTCCGCTCAGCCCATGGGCCTCTGCAGGAGAGAGACGGCTACGCGCGGCATCCGTTCCCACTGAGCGGAGGAAAGGGCCACAGGTGGGGAGGCCCCTCCGGATCTCCGTCCCACACGGGGCCTCCTGGCCCAAAGGCAAAAAGCATTGAACGGGAAAAAAAGACAAGGGCAAGAACCGAAAAGGCAGCCTGCCCTGCAGGCCTTTTTGCTCTCTAGGGGCACCGCCAGGGCATTTCGGCAGCGGTTCCTTCAACGGGCCTCAGATCCATGCCTGCATTTCTTTAGTGTTTCCTCCCTGGGTAAAGGCTGCTCCGGCGATGGCCGTAGAGTCCATTTCACACACAAGGGAAACGACCCCCGTTTAAACCCACGTCCCGAAGCGCCAACTAGCCCGGAATTATTCTGCAGTCTCGAAGGGGCCTGGAAAGCCCCCTCCCCTTCCAGGGGAGCTGCAGTTCTTCTCCAGCTGCCGCCAAGTTGGAGGGAGCCGTGGAACCCCGCGGGACGGGCGTGGCAAGCCCCGTCTGACCTCTGGCACTCCGCCCAAGGTCACGGGGGTGTTGCCCTCCAAAGGGTCGGCTTTGGGCTCAAGGTTACGGGAGACCCTTCCTCCCCCTTGTAGTCCAGAGGGGCAAAGCAGCCCTTGGAAACGGGGTGGCTTTCCAGTAATAAGGCAGGCTGCCATTCTGGCCCTGCCGGCCACCTCTTCGGGGCTCTGCCAAGGAGCAAAGGAAGCGGGGATTGGCAGGCTTAGCTGGGAGGCTGCCAGCCGGGGGCTTCCGAGGATGAGGAGAAGCAGCAGCAGCAGCATCAGGCCTGATCCGGCAATTAGCCGGCTCTTCCCAGCGCCTCTAGATATGCAATCCGGGCGGCCCAGCGACTGCTACCTGGGGCTGCTCTTTTCCCAGCGGGGAGGAAGGAGAGGAGGAATGGGAGGGAGGTCAACAGGAGAGAGAGGGAGAGAAGGAAGGAAGCAGAGGGAGGGAGGGAGGGAGGGAGGGATAGAGGGAAGCAGGAATGGGATGAAGGAAGGGAGAGAGCAGGAGAGGAAGGGAGGAAAAGAGCGGGAGGGGAGGGGAGGAAGGGATGGGAAAGAGGAGATGGGAAGAGAAGGAGGGAGGGAGGGAGGAAAAGAGTGGAAGTGAAGGGAGGAAATGAAGGGAGGGAGGAAGGATAAGAGGAGAGTGAGGGAGAGAAGGAAGCAAGGAAAAAGAGAAAGGGAAGGAGGAAAAGAAGGAAAGCAAAGAGAGGAATGGGAGGAAGGAAATGGGGGGGGAAAGTGGGGAAGGAAGGACAAGAAGAGAGGGAGGGAGAGAAGGAAGCAGATGAAGGGAGGGAAGGAAGCAAGGAAAAAGTGAAAGGGAAGAAGGAAAGCAAAGAGAGGAATGGGAGGAAGGAAATGGGAGGGAAAGTAGGGAAGGAAGGACAAGAAGAGAGGGAGGGAGAGAAGGAAGCACAGGGAGGGGAGGAAGGAAAAAGAGAAAGGGAAGGAGGAAAAGAAGGAAAGCAAAGGGAGGAATGGGAGGAAGGGAAAGAGAAGGAGGGAGGAGAGAAAAGGGAAAGTAGGGAAGGAAGGAACGAAGGAGGCACGGGAAGGGAAGGAGGAATAGGAGGGAGGGAGGGAGGGAAGCAGGCGGAGAGGCGGCCCCCCTCCCAGCCCCCCCACCCACCCACCCCAGGCCGCTCACCCAGCACATCGGCCGTGCGGTGCCGGGCCACGAAGCAGGCGTCGTCGCCGTAGCACATGCCCTTCTTCAGGATGCCCTTGCGGAAGTCCTTGCCGAAGCCGCAGCTGGCCGTCACCAGGCTGTAGTCGCGGGAGTCGGTCTGCGAGAGGCCCCCCAGGACGGCGCGGGCCACCAGCCGCCCGTACGAGAGCACCGAGAACATGCTGCGGGGGGGAGGGGAGGGGAGGGGTCGGCAAAGCGGGGCCGGGAGGAGGAGGAGGAGGAGCCCCCCCCCAAGGCCGGAGGGGGGTCACCGGGGGGGGGTCCCGCGGCCTGGGGAGGGCGGTGGAGGGGGGGGGTTCAGCACCGGCTCAGGGCCGGGCCGAGGCCCCCATGGCGGCCCCCTGCTCCTCCGGCGGGCAGCCCCCTCCTCTGCGGCGGAGGCCCGCGGGGCGCCCCCGGCCAGAGTGGGGGAGGGGCCCGCGAGCCCCCTTCCTCGACGGCGCCGCTCTCTGAGGGGGGGGGCTCTGCCGCTCGTTCGCTCGCTGCCTCGAGGGGGCCGCCTTTCCTCAGGCGCTCAGGGCCGCCGCCATCGCCCGCCTCGCTTCGCCGCCGCCGCCTCCACCGGCTCCTCCGGGGAAAGGAGAGAGACGAGCGAGGTCAGCTCCGCCTCCGCGCCGGCCCGGAGCGCGTCTGAGCTCCCTCAAGCATCCGGGCTCCCGAGGACTCCCGCCCCGCGCGGCCCTCATTGGCGGCGCGCCCCTCTGGATTTACATACCCCCGCCCTTTCCCCGGTGGCGATTCGCCCGGCTTAGGTGTCACTCTCCGGGGCTACCATTCGCCTCTGCGGACTACCGGCCCCGGCATGCTGCGCGGCGGCGGAGTGGCCCGCTTCCCCCGTCTTCGGCCGGCGCAAGGCTTGCCGGGAAGTGGTCTTTCTTCCTAACCCGGAGCACGTGCGCCGCCCCGGGAGCGGGTCACCTTCCTTGCAAAGCAGGAGGCGGGGAAGCAAAAGTGAAAGTGGGGCGATGATCGAGTCGGGGGGGGGGGGGGCCGGAGGGGGGGGGGGGGGGGGGGGGGAGGTTTTACCGCACCCATAGCGACTTCAACTCC